CGCTAAGGTTGTTTTGATAAAAAATGAATAGGGTTTGCAATCCTCTTAATTCAAATGATCACATCATTTTGTTATTTTTATCTCATTTTCATTTTTTTAGAAACACTGAAGATAATAAAAACTATAATGCAATTTATGCCTTTTCAAAATGTTTAAAAGATTGTTGGAATATAAAGTATACACATCATACTTTATGTGTTATGTCTACGAACATTTTTTGAGAAAAAATTTATTATTAAGTGCTACTACTATACTAATTAATGGAACGTTGTTTTCGAGAGCATTTAATTCTTAAAAGAATTTGTTATCGCAAACTGTCATTCTGTAGAGAACGAGGAAATTTGTCTTCTGGTAAATCAACACTTAGGGTTTTATGTTGATGTTAGAGCTAATTGGCGGTAAAATATTATGATATAATGCATTGTGTTTTTTTCTCATTTTATAAACCTAAGGGAAGTTAAAAAAAAATTCTAAGATATAACATTAAAGTGTAGGAATTTACCACCATTTCTCTTGTGATGTTCTCCTGTAAGTCATAATTTGTGCGTCAATATCGAGCTTAATATCGAGTCGTAATATCGACTCCGATATGGCGATATCATACATTATAGCCTATGGGTCACGAGGATAGTCCTCATTTATATAAACGGTAAATACTCCACAGAGAAATGTAACGAGTCCTTATAACATTAAATAATTGCGAGTTAGGGAATTTATTGAATTCATTTGATCAGTAGAGACTGTAATTAATTAACACATACCTTCGTGTTATCATTATTATGCATTTAGATTTAAGCTTTATCTTGGTTTCGCCATCATTGCACACGACTTTATTGAGATTTTTGAAATTTTAATTAATTTCACTAATCATCAGTGTAGTACGATTTATTTACACACACGATTTTCACGTACAATTATCACTCTTAGACGTTTTCCTTTTAGAAATTTCAAACATACAAAGCTTTACACCAATTCTGCTGACTGCCAAATATGCACTTCGATTACTTGGGCGTCAATGAATTAACGTATCACGTACAAGTACGGATTAACACTACCGCAGGCCCTAGACCCATGTGCTAATAGGGTCCTGTAGTCTTCAGCATTTAAATGATTAAGAAACCTAATGTTTGGGAGATGTAGTGTTGAATCTCAGTGTTTTAAGCCTTTGAAAACGAAAATATTTACAATAAGCCACGAAACAGAGGACTATATTTAATAAAAAAAAATTAATAATAATATTGTGTGTGTGAAATGTTGCTACCCAGAAAATACACTCTCGACGGTTTCGAATAATAATGACCAAAAAAAAAAAAAGTTTCTAGCGAAAATGAAGCTAACCTACTGTAGTACTATTTCCTAAAGGTGAAATGAATTACTTTAATCATAGTAACATCATCAAATATACTAAGTAATATCATAGGCTGACAGACCGTCTACGCTCAGAATAGTTTTTCATACACAATGATTTTATATCATTGAATTCAAATTGAACATCATTCATTACAGTGACCTACTTGGCACTTGTGACCCACTGTACAACAGAGCGACATCTCCTTACACGCTTTTTGAATGAATAACAAACATGATTTTTTTTTTAAACAATATATTAATTATAATCTATATTATTATCACCGGTTTCATAATACTATGTAGGCAAGGTGTACTTATAAGTGCACTTTGTTTATAATTAATATAATAATATATTAGCCATAAGGCATGTCCACAGCTGATAAACATTTAATATATTACCTAAGATAATTCTTTAGTTCACGTTTTTTTCACAAGTTGTAATAATGTTTAATAATATGACAGTTAAAGTAAATCATTAATTAGATTAGACCACTGGTGGTGGTCGCAGAAAAATAGCTAAATATCGGCTAGAAATAAGTAAAGCTCTACGACTTGTAGTGACTATGGCTTATTGGAGCCAAAATTGCACAAAATAAATAAAAATAAAACATTTTTGATTATTTTACGAATGTATTTTTTTTTATATTAATTTGGTTAAAATTTATCAGTAGTGGAACCTTATATTCATGTAAAAAGCTATACGTGGTCCGTAGAATTTGGAATACGGTTTTAGTGGTCCGCAAGGTCCAAAAGGTTGGCGACCGCTGCTCAATGCAACACAATATTTGATCAGATTTGATTCATCTTGTGTGCAAACAATAAGGTGCAATGTCAATTAAAGTCGGTCTTTAGTTATAAGTATTATAACTTATACGCGGTGTTGAAACGTTGCATCCATTTGCTAATTATTATTTATTTATGGCTCTAGCAGATAGTACCACTGAAACTCATGTCAACATTAGATTAAAATTGTCTCGAATATTAAATTTGAAAATTGTGTTCTTTTTTTTGTACTTGCATTATTTTAAAAATGAGGGAAATATTTTATTCCTATGTTTTAAATTTGTTGACCAGTTGTCCGGAACACATTATTATCATCAAAGTTTTGCGACAAAGTCAGTCGCTCTCAAAACTCAGACGACATATTTTGAACGATACTTTAATACGTGACTCGCGCTGTAAGTATTATCACATTTTCTTATTCTTATATCATTCACGTATGTAAACGGGGAAAATGTTAAATGAATATAATTGTTGTTTACTAACACAGTATGAATGCAAACTCGTAAATGGTCAGATTGATACACATATCACATTTTGTGCCCATGGAATTCTCTTAAAATTACGTTGTCTATCTCTTTTCCTCGTCCTCCTAAGAGACTTAATATTATGTTTTTGTGTCATTAGTCACTAGTGCAATATCTTACATACTTATCAACAAAATGAGCCTGTCAATCGACTTACACATATTATGTCTTGTAATTCACTGTCATTCAGTTGTTATCGTTTAATTTCAGTCTTCTATATTTACTTATCTTAACAAATTTTACTTATTAATTTCAACACTTATTTATTTTATTACTTTCGTGAAATTAACCATACGTGTGATTAAAACTTGTCAAGTAGATACTATACCCATTACCCATATTACATACACTTACCTATATGACATAGTTTACTAAAAATATTTGTAAAACAAATAATAGTCTCAAGTCTTTGCTACTTATATAATAACTACGATTTTAATCAACACGTGGTTACCAAAGTATAATACCATGTGCAACTTTTTTGAATTTAAACATATTATTAAATGATTTTTATCACTACTACTGTTATGCGAAACAACAATGGTAACTTATTGTCATATTGATGTATGATATTATACCAATAAAAGAGAAAAATTCAATTAGATTTATTATAAAACTGCTCAATAGCGAGGAATAAAAATAAACTCATTTGATTTTACTCAGACAATATGTAATATTTAGATGAGGGTAAAAAATAATGTGGTGAAAAGTTATTATATTTCTATCCAGATTTAAAAAAAAAAAATACCACGTTTCATTGTATCTTTTATTCAAACTTTAAAATATATAACCGAAACACATCCACGACCTTTTCAAAGTGGTACTTTAGAAAAAAAATCCCAAGACCTGCCTTTAGCAAGGAATTCCACGACGAATCGAGGGATATTCAGCGGTTGAAATGTAGCGAAACCGTTTTTCATTATATACACGACAAGAACAATGGCATTGTGGTTTTTAAGCCGGAAATACGGACGCACGCATAAAGCATAATGTCACCTACTCAGCTTTTAAATAATGTATATAATTCGAAACAGTTTTGACAAACTTTGATCGCCTAACATATCATTGTTTCATGCAAGTAATTTGGGTGTCGTGCTATGAACACGTATGGTTTTCTGCCTATTGGACACACTGCTCGTTTACCGAATAACTTTTACACTAAACGTTTTTCTTGTTCTATTGTACAATTGATATTGTGAGTGAAAAAAAACATAATTTATTGACGTTTTGCAAATGGTAGTCGCGAAAAGATTTAAATCGCTGTAAGTAAACAACAAATCATTAGGATCTTCAAATATTATAAACATTAAAAATCACTTTTGTATATTATATTGAATTTGAAATAGTGTGATAAATGTAAATTTTCGTATGTACTCGAAAGGCTATGGCATAAAAATACGCATACAATGAAACGAACCATTAACAATCATGTCTGGTGCTAAAGAAAACGTATACTAAAAATTACATTTTTAATAACACTCATATATCAAAATGTATTTTCAGCATGTGACAACTAGCGTTGAGTTTAAATAAAATATCACATAAGGAAGTATAACAATGACGATTGTGATAATATATGGAAAATATTGAAAACAAATCAATTTAAAAATAATCTGAATCTAAAAAAATTATGTTACGAAACAATTATTTCTAGAAGAATTTATCAAGATAATAACAAACATCTAGAAATTTGTGTTTATGAATAATCACTTTCATTTATCTTGATAATATTTAAGATAACTACGTCCCGAACTGCCGATATCTTAATTAATTGGGTAATGTTTTTGAAGTTATTATAATATACATTATTATTTGAGGGTAAAATAAATCTTCATTTAAAATCTTTTTAATCTTTAAAGACCATTAGTTTAATAATTAATCACTACAAACTATCAAGTTCATTTTAATATTATTTCGGGGATTGGATTAGTTGAAGTAGGGTTATTCTTTTGATAATTTTAAAATGAAAAAATAAATATGAGAATTATGATTGTTTATATTCAGTTAGCAATATTATAATGGCATATTATAATCTCTGCAAATCATGACGTATAGATTCAAATGTCTGCCAATAGTTTGTTGCTTGAATATAAATTCATACATAAGGAAAAAAAAATAAACAATATTAGAACACTACTTTCAATCTATATTTTATTCCAATTTACATACGTATTGCAGTCGTCCAAGTAGACACACGGGAAAAAAGTCGGAAGTGGTTCATAAGTCTACTGCGTAACTTACAAAATATAAATGAAAGTTCATAATTATATCATAGGTACATATCGGTAATATAGTGAGTTTATTGGAAGTTTTTGCAATATTGTATTAGCCTATAGTAAGCTCATGAAATTTCGGAAAAAACTAGTACTTAAAATTATTAACCAAGAGGAACAGGGAAAAGATATTAAAATATCAGTATTAGATGCAATTTTAATGATTTCCGATGCATGGAATGATGTTTCTACCACTACAATAAGAAACTGTTTCCACCACGCTGGATTCAAGGCTTTGGTAAACGACGAAACAGAAGTAGTAAGTGAAAATCATTTGGACACAGAGTGCATTTCTGAAGAAAACATACAAAGTTTTGTGGAGGTTGACGATGCTCTTTTGACCAACGAAGAAACCAATGAAGAAGAAATTGTTAAGTCTATTTTGAATGCAAATAATGATGAAAGTGAACAAGCTGACGAAGAGAGCGAAGAAATCGTATTCAAAGTACCATCTATTTCGGAAATGTATTTTTATATTGATCAGGTGCGTAATTTTGTTTCGGTAAATAGTGACATAAATAAGCCAGAAGTATCAATGGCATTAAATAATATTTCTAATTTTGTTAAAAAATCGTATTCAAATTATAAACAAACTACTATTAAAGATTATTTTTCAAACAAATCGTAAACATATACTATACAGGTATATTCTGTACATTTATTAAAATTTATATAAATACCTTGAATGTTAAAATACATATGTAATCTTAAATAACAGTAAAAAATGTGTTTAATAAATCAATTTTTCAAAAAAACTATTTTTTTTTTTTATGATCCGGATGTAACGATGTTCGGTTATAACGATCAGATTCCCTAGGTCCCTAGAAGATCGTTATAAGCGAATTTGACTGTAGTTTTTTTTTTTTTTGGAATATTTTATTGAATCTATATAATAATGAGTAATGCCCTACCTAATGATGACTGTGCCAGAAACCTCGCGAGAACGAATATTGGATTCTATTGGAATATTTAAAACGACTAATCGTATTGACAGAAATAGTTTGATTGAGTTAAACATTTTGGACGAAAATACAACAGAATTATTCGCATAATAATAATAATAATAATAATATATCATAAAAGTACACATTTCGAGAAAAAAAAATGTAATTTTAATTTTACCATAAGCCGTAACATTTTATTCGTAAACAAAACTCGTGTTTATTTATACCGATCGCGGGACGTACTGTGTACAAGTATAATAGGGTTATTGTATGTTTTATTTTATACTCTCGCGTGCTTAGTAGTTTTGCTAGAACATAATATTCAAGGTTTTTCACAATATTTTATCAACTAAATTGTTTTAATTATGTAAAAATCAATAATACTTTGGTGCACGATTAATTTATCGAGCAACTCGATTATTCAACGATGTACTTTTGAGCGCTCAAGAGGCATGACAAGTGTTTACTTTTTCTCATTTTTATGTTGACATTTTTGAAACCTAGAATTTACATTAATTAATAATATTATCTAGTCCGTTGTTGGGTAATTAGCGGGGAACAGGATAATTTATTGCCTTTATCTGGATATCATACGATTACTAATTAGGCAAACACAATATCGTACTACAGCTATATAGTATTATACCGTATAGCATGACGGTGATTACTGATTACTGTTTGTTTTCTTTTACGTACCTACACGATCCGTTTGAGAATTGTCAAAGTTAATTTACCGTGCACGTACCCCATAATACCGCATAATTGCAGCTAAGGCAACAATAATTATCTAATAAAAGTGAACATTTGTAATAATACTGTGTACTTACAGCAATGGCGTGTCCTGTAACACACACGCGTATATATAAGCCAATACAACGTTCCCTACTGCAATTTTAATTAAGACATTTGTTTTACTTCTCAGTCTTAGATGTAGGTACCGAACGTATCAGAGAATGTTTTTGTTTTTCAATTACGTGTTTATAGCTTTTTGTCGCATTATTTGTTGCGGTGTATATTGTCGTTATAGTGAAACTCGGCTAATTAATTTTTAGCTTGTTTCACAACAATGTTTTTTACCATTCTCATCAATCCAAATGGTTTTTAACGTAACCTAATTTATGTTTTTCCGTCGTGTCCATCATTCCTTCGGAGTTAAATTTGTTCGATTTTTAATAAACGGTAAAAATTGTTATCGCTCGCGATACTAAATTGTAACCTTTTGTAAATGCAATTATTTCCCTCCGTGATATTTTATTCACAGTTTTATAATAGGAATAACTAATAAGCTGCGAACAACGTTCCAATTACTTTTGTTCTGTTGTTTGTCGAAATTTTCAAACACGGATTGTCAGCTAATGATATTGCATCGTTTATTGTTTTGCGATTAACAATAGAATACGCTAATCATCAGTACTTTCTCTGATAATATACAAAGGGCAACTATAAATATTTGAAAATCATCATTTTAGTCTCTCGTCGCTGACCTAAAAACTTATTGAACGTGTACGAGTGTAAGACGACTTATTTAGCTGTGCAAACTATTCTGGCGCAAGGTTTCACGGTTTATTAGTGTCAATTAGGCAATATAAGATAAGGCTTTTGAGGGTTACTTGAAGTACTCGGCCTTATGTATATTGCGAACAAAAACATCCAACGTTCAAGTACTTACGCTGCAGGATATAATACACAACCATAGATCTACGTCACATCTCACACTTAGACAGACACCCTTTGACCAATGTTTACTGGCGTCAAATGTCAAAAAATAACGAACTACGGAGCTACTGGTGACTCGTCCAACGTTCTTTGGCGATTCGATTATCAACTCCTCTAATTACTACTAATGGCGAATCTTAGGTGAGTACATATATCCGAGACATAGACACTTTGCAGTCGAGGATTAGGATACGTTTCGCCATCCACGAGTAAAGCACCACTCGTTATGTTATTACAGGTATGAACCACGACGAACCTCGACGGTTATTATTATTATTAAGCTACCACAGCTGACTCGTCGTAAAACCCATTTTGAAACATCTAATTAGTGAGTAAATATTAAAATACCGATAATACATGTGTCGTAATTATAACTCAACTGTACAGGGGCATGAAAAAAATAACATTTTAATTTTAATTTTAATCTCAAATCTTGGTTTTTAGTACACTAAAGTTGAGATTTTTTACCAACTCACTGTAATAATATTATGAAAATATAAATTGCTGGCTTAAAATCAGTTCTACTCATTTTCATTAGAATAAAATAATATTGATTTATTGCTTGTTTCGTACTTAACCCGATAAGAATTTGCCATAACCCATAGATTCTTGCAAATGAAAGGAGACTTGAATTATTCGGTTTGACCTACATTGACTTCACTGACGTGCATACTGCGGAGCGTGCCGGAATGTGACAATCAATTTTAACATTTATCAAATATTCTTACAGAGTCGTCCCTTTATCCACCAATAACAAATAACTGGAGTTCCTCGAACAAATGCACTTGTACTACAATTGTTAAAAAAAATTCAGATTTACATATTAAAGTTACGTATTTATGTTTAGGCATTCCAATAATATTTATTGAACACATTAATGCAATCCAATATTTATAGATATCAATTAAAAGCGATTCAGGTTTTAGTTTCTCTAAACAATGATATACGTTGTAAATCATTTAAGGACAAGGAAAGCTATGCACCTAACAATAATAACGGTTGTTGATACACAATACATACTGATACCCCTACTTATTAACGATTATATTTTTTAAATTCCTATATTATACCTACAACGTAATAATTCATTCAAAGCCTGTTTAATTGTTATTTTTTATCGCATTTTATTATACCAATTTAATTTTTATTACAACACTGTGGTTTTTGTTTTGTTTGTCAACTCTGACGTATAATGAATCACTTGTACACCATGCCCTGGGCAATTTATTACCAGCGAATCCGCAGTTTTATGAGTAAAATATTGCATGCACACTGCATAATATAGGGTTGACCTGGAGAACGGAAGTATATTATACAACGCCTCGTATAGAAGGTAACGAAATTAAAACTTACTCGCAGTTTGATTCATTAACAATTTGTTACAACTTTTGATCCTGCGAACACTGTTTTATATTTCAGAAAATAAGCCGAAAACTTCTTTAAGTACAAACAATTAGGGAATGGCTGCAATAAAGAATCCAAAGCATGACGTCTGACTACATACGTATCTACTTACAACATTTTTAGTTAATAGGTAAATATAAAGACATTACATATTTACCAATTAGTTTTGAAGAGAACATTTCATTTAAAAGTAACTGAACTCATTTATAGTGCCTGTATAATTAGTAAACCATGTGTATTATATATGTATAAGAATAACGACATAACTAACTATGTTCGTAGTTAATGGTAATTCTAATTTATAATACATTGTACATTGAATATAAGTGATTTCGTGATGTATCTAACATAACCTAATTGTAATTTAGTAATACATAAATACATAATTGTTTTATAATTGACAAGATTAGCCATTGGGTAGGTATAGTATGTATAGTATCATTAAAATATGTATTTGAGGTTGTGGTCAAATACCCCATTATATTTTATAAAACAGAAAATTACGTAATTTAAAGTAGAGATTTCTTGTATCTTCCTTATAATAATAATATATCGTTTTAAGAAACTCAAGTGGACGTCATTATATTATAACATATGGATTTTTCACAACACCTTCATCATACGTAGATTATAGAATTCACTGGTTTCGACAGTTCAGATTGTCTACGTAATTGAGTTCGACCGTATCTTCCGGGACCCTACTTGGTTGCTAATTGTAAAACCGCATATTGTGGTGACTATTTCGAAAAAAATTGTTCAAACCACATTAAAGAGCATTTTAAATTTCAAGCTAGAAAGAATCTGTATTCGAGAAAGATAGCGAAAAGACCTTAAAATATGTTGAGATGAATACAAATTATAAGCTATATAAAATCAAGTAGGTATCCACGAAAGTTGTAATCAGATAACACCTAGCTACAGGGTCCGCGATATTTTGAATAGTGTTTTTTTTTTGAATTCCAATAAATTGGGAGTGTTGTTGTCCATGGGCGGCTTCTCCCTTTAAGACTTCCAGCCAAACTTAATTCTAATATTATAAGTTGAGCTTAATATTTGCAAAAACTGTATAGACTGTTTAATTCAAATAAAAAAAATCCGACAAGCATTTTGTACACGATGGAATTTTATGTATGTATATTTAATAATAATGAATGCAATCGTTTTAATTAATTTTTCTCTCTGGTCTTGTTTCAATCAATTACAGTTAACGAGAATTTTTTGAAATACAAAATTCAGATAAATAAATATTAGCATTACTATAATGGAATATGAATTAGTATTTAAATTTAAAAGTCATAATGTATTATTTTAATTTTAGTCAACAAGAAATCAATTACCTTCTTTACGTTTAATGATAAATTTGCACAAAGTGTACCAATACTTTATGGACTTCAAATGCATTTCTCACAACAAGTTGCTGTCTCAAAACTGTTCATTTTTCTCAGTATCCGTAAATAGTACATCACAATTTACTATAAACAAAATGTATATTATAGAACATAATAGTTATTGAGAAATTGTTTTCAGAATACTGAATTATGATCTGAAACGGTTACTCGAGCGCAGCAACTTTCTACAACATTTTTTTTTTTGTTACCTTTTTACGACATTTTTGAAGGTGACACGCCCGCAGATTGACAACCAGTATAGACTTAGACGAGACTTCAGGGAGACTTGTACCCTGTACGAATGTGCGTCATAGAGGCGGAGGTGGACGTACGCGGTCATAGTGCATTATTTAGGACGTAAAATGTGTTCCGAGCGAACGAGCCGGAAGTAAATATAAATAACCGTTTTGAGACCGTTTAAAAGTTTAACGCTACAGGTCTTGCAACAAAAAAAATGTGCTCCAGGCCGAGACGATACGGTGCGATTGGATGAGACCAGAGGTTGCGTGAGCTGTGTGTTGTTAGACGTTTACCTGCGACGTATGATATACTTAAACCGTTAAAACCGCTCGTGTGTGAAACTGTTAGCTCCAGTTGTTGGACATATAAAAAAAAATCTAAAATACGAAAAGCGATTCGAGATTTGGTGAAATACATCAGAGATCATGTACTACGTTTTCAAAATAAACCGCGTAAACTGCGGGGAACGTTGTTCGAAACATTCCAGTTTCAATGACGATGTACGATGACTTAAGGATGTCCTTAATACATGTGAATCGCCTTTTTTAATATATTTTGGCTTTATTAAAGGCACCTAAAACCTCATTATATCGGAAAGTATTAGTTTTTAAGAATAATTATTGTTTTAAAAATAAAATGTTAAGTCACTTTTAAAAAACAGCCCATAAAACATGGTATTTCTTATCGTTAACATTTTGTTCGTTTTTACTTTTTTGAATGATTGGTGATAGCACCTACATCACACATGCTGAATTTTATGTTCTGAAGCGCAAACTGAAAATTTCAACGTATAAAAAAGAGGAAATTAGGTAACGCCACTTTGGTACATAGTAGCTATACTTAGCTGTACATCATCAATAATTAAGTCATTGTGATGATAAATCATTTGGAACGAAAAACGATTCCGAGCGAAGACTAATCGGTGGTGGTCTATGTTAGGTGCTTAGTATTTTTCATCATAATATATTTATATTTTCTATCGACATTAGAGTAATTAATTTTATTATTAGTAGTAGGTAGGTTGAGTTAATAATGTTTTGCCGAAAATACTACACTTGAAAGTATAGTAATTGTGTGTATAAAATATAAAATATAATAATAATATACGTTAAAAGTTTCAAATACCCACAAGTTTTTTTTTTTTAAACTACAAAATAACTAAAATTGTTATTATAAAAGTAATATAAAATATGACAATATTGTAAAAGTAATATAAAATATGACAATATTATAATATCGTTAGGACCAGAAGAAAATGGATCTGCTCAGAACAGTTTTTCACTTTTTCGTATGTAATGATTTAATATTGAATTCAAATTTAACACATCCAGTACAACAGTGACCTACTCAATGGTTAGGTAGGTGAACTCGAAAGTTATAATACGGAAAACCGACTTTTATGTTTTTTTTTTTTTATATATTTATGTAATTCCTTGTTTAGTTTAATGGTTATAAAACTGCTTATCCAACTAAAATGTAACGTTACGTCACTTCAACCTGTCTGTACTTTTTTTCAGCATTGAAACGTGAATATTTATTCAGTTTTAATGTTTTATTCATGCTTTAAAATCTTTTAAATCTTTCAGATTGAAAGAGTTATTATTATTATATTTTAGTCTCGTGTACGATAAAATATACACGTAAAGTTTCTAATTGTATTTTCCAATCTTGGAAGTTTTCCCGTGTAATATATTACACAACTAGGTAGAAATAAATAATTTGAAGAAAATATAAGTTTAAAAATAAATGTATAGCCGGGTAAAGTTAAATTTACTTCGGGAGCTTCTATTTTTCATTAGAAAACTATATTATGTGTTTGGTTAAAAACACTGTACATAGCTCCCCTTCATTTTTTAAGTTTTCCTTTGATAACAATTAATTTAAATTCTGGATCTTGGAATTTTCAAGTAATTCGATTTTTATCCATTTAAGACGTTCCTTGTGGTGATACTAACTTTATTCTTTCGAACGAGAATCACTATTTTTCCTGTAAATTATTAATTAAATTATTTTTTCGAAAATGTAGTTGGAAATTCAAAATTGAAATTCGAACGAGCGGTTTTAAACTTATTGAATTGTGCGTACCAATGATAATGGATCCATGATAATAGGTTCGAGGATATACGGTGGATATGATGATGTGGAAATTATAGTAATTTATATTAATCCATAAGCATAATAAAATATAAAAGAAATAGATGAATACTAGATGTGAATGATGTGATATAACATATATTATTATTATTTTTTTTTTTTACTGAAGGAGAAAGCCTCGATGATGACGTGACCATTGGCTTGTTTTACGTATAGGTACTTAAATAATTTAAACTAAGTTGTACAGCGTAATATTTTTCATAAATAATAATATATTTTGGATGCATTCCTCGCCGGGGCCTAGTGCGCCGTGGAGGGGCTCAGGAAGTTGTACTTTTTGTCGAGCCCCTTACGTGTCCCTGCATTCTGTAAAGATGCGTTTGATGGAGGTTTGATGTCCGCATGTAAGTCATGTTCTTAGTGCCATGAGATGGTCATGTATGTGATGTGTATGATCTGTTCTTCTGCGATTTAATACAGAACTTCGTCTCTTCTTTTGAGATACATTGCGCTGTTCCATTCTTTTGCCGTTCTTTTTATTTCATTAAATTTAGTGTTCATTTTTAGCGATTCGTTTTGCCATTTATTTTTAACACGGTCGTAGACAGATCATTTTTTTTTTTAATCTTCGTCTGATTTTCTGTTCTAGAGGGTTCGTCGATATTTGTTATTGGCTTTTCCTTTGGCAATAACATATTATTATATCTTATATTTTTGTAAAATAATTTTTTAGGACAGATATACAGGCAGATTTACGCACACGCAAAAAAACATGTGAGTATTGATAATTGTTAAGTCAAAATGAAAATGTGGTTTTTAAATATTTTATTTATCAAGGCGTGTTAAATAACAATTATAATATAATAAACAAGTAGGCATTTGTATATCTACGATCACCTATAATATGCAGTGATATCTCAATTTTTTGTATGCGTCTTTTATGATGTCTTTATAAACACGGATAAAGAATTCTCTGTATCTATACGGAAACATTAATGTATCTATATTTTATTTAAACAATACAACGTTTTCAACGGATCGTTATAAGTAATGATACTTCATACAATTTTCGATCGATATTATGGTTACGTTTTGATATCACTATAGAGCAAACAATTTTGTTAATAAATGTAAGTACGGTTGTTTTAAAAATGAAAATACGATGATTTATGTTAATATAACATTGAATATTTCTGAACACCACAAATTAATACCTAGCCATTATCCTTGTTTTATTTTTTCCAGCCCAAGTTGAGTTAATAACATACGACCAACTCAAATTCAAAAACGTAATAGATTACAATATGTATGCGGAATTGCGGACATCTGGCTACTTTTGAATGAAGTATTTTTGGAAAACTCTATCCACAGCGTGCGTCCCTGCAAATGTTAAAATCAATAGTAGTTGGGCCAGCCGTGTCGTCGACTTACGGTCTATTGAATATATTTTTTTTATTTGATCTTGAAATTGTTGTTGAAGCGATTAAGTACGCCGAATGCTCAAAATAAAAACAAAATAATGTGTTACCGTGTCAAAAACGGGAAACGAGGTTATTTATTATACATTTTTTTCATGTTAAATTTAAATCTATGACAAACAATTACGTTTGAAAACCACGATTTTCGATATTTCTTAAAAATACATCAAAATATGTCTGTTTTTTTTTCTTTACTGTTAACATGTAAAATCAAAAAGCGATCACTTTGACGAGTTTGACGTATTCAACTTAGTTAAACACTAACCATACACGGCATAAAATAGTATTAGGGTGCCGATTTAAAAACTCCAGGGGGGAATCCTGAACAGAACTAAGCCCCATTGCGCCTGTGCGATCCAAAATATAAAATAATATGTAAGTACTACAACTAGGTACGTTACACTAGCACCACAACCTAAACCAAATCCTTCAAAATTGATTCCACGCGTTAGTAACCGATTAGTAACCATTCGTAACCGAAAAATCGGAATTCGTGACCCAAACCGAGTACCAGAAAAACTGTTTTCCTGGTACTCGGTTTGGGTCACGAATTCCGATTTTTCGGTTACGAATGGTTACTAATCGGTTACTAACGCGTGGAATCAATTTTGAAGTATTTGGTTTAGGTTGTGGTGCTAGTGTAACGTACCTACTACAACTGTCATATATAATTGACGCTCGTGCGAAAAACACGTATCTACCTATGCACTATCATCGTCGTCATCGTCTTATGGCATTGCAATATTGAGATGCATTCGTGAGGGATAATAATTACGAGCTAGGATATTGCAGGTGACTTTTGCATATTTTTTTTTTAAGTGCTCTTTAGTACTAACCAAAAACTAAATTTGTTTCGTGGCACAATAAGTCAGAATGTTTAATTTTAATTTTGCTTTTATTTGCATTTTTTGTGTTAAATGCGTTTTATTGCATTTTTAAGCTCATTTTTATAAATATTTCGTTCATTTTTTGATGTTATATCGACAAAATAAAATAATATTATCGCTGTTATAATATAATATATTATACTTATCCGTTTTTGATAAAATTATTGTCACCTGACGGCGAATCGAGAAAATTGAAACTACATCAATAAAATAATATTCGAATATATTTGCTTAGTTGACTCCTTAAAACAAATGTTACCTTTTTCGTGTACTATAAAAAATGAATAAATAATGATTAATACTCAATGATAATATTTATTTTAAAATTCAATTTTTTTCGCTCATTTAAGTACATTTTTTGCTCATTTTTAAGTTGATTTTTTTTAGTGCATTTTTGCATTTTTTTTTTTAGTGCATTTTTGTGTAGTCGTCACTGCGTCATTGAAATCCTAGCTCCACAACCATAACCGCATACCTAATAATAACCAGATCACGACACGACGAACAGGAAAATCGTGCGACTTTTCGTCGCGAGCGGTATATCGTAGGCGCCTGCACATCGGCGACGGTCATAGGTCGGGATCGGACGGTGGTCGAAAACGATATCGGACGACGACGACGACGACAAAACGACCACCACCGCGGTTATTAATAATATTTCTCGTCCGAGTGACGGAAGTCGAAGGTCGAGCTGCCCCGGCGTTTTAACGGCATTATTATTATCGTTATTATTACGGCGGCGTGACGCCTCGACGGTCATTTTCAGGACTCACCCGCGGGGAGGCGCGCGCGAGATTTGACGCTCGCGGCGGGCGAGACGACACGACCGTCGCCGTCACCGCCGCCGCCACCGCTCGCCCGTTCGTATCAGTCGTCGTCCGCACGCCGCCGTCAAACGACCAGTTTTTCCGGACCGGGGGGCGGGGTGGCTCGCGCGTGTTCGTCCACGGACTCGTCATCCCCCGACCGCGCTGCACACATCCGTCTGTATCTGTGCGTACACAATATATATTTAGATCCGTACGATCCCACCTGCGGTGCAGCGATATAGCTGCGTTTTTAAGTTCGACAATAATAATATTATACGGACTGCAGTTCGAGTGCCGGCGGTCGTCGTCGTGTGTGTTTTCGGTCTTTCCGGAGCGGAGGAGCAGTGTAGTTGTGCAGCCGCGTTTCGTTTCGACGAGAAACAAATAATAAAAACAAAAAACAAAAAACAACCGTCGCCGTTGCTCGCGTCTCGCTATCGCAACAATAATATTTACGACAGTAATAACACAATAACATAATATACACGTCGTATCGTCACAACGTAACATACGCACTGGCGGTACCTTCAGTATGTGTCGACCGCCCTTAGACGAAGGGTTCGCGGCGGCAGCCCCGTTTGGTCCGGGCCGGTAGTCTCAAGCCTCCTCGAGCGTCCAACCGCGTCTACGGTGAGTGATACTCGATGTTATATTATTGTTATGATATCGTTATAACGTTACGACAACACTAGACCTGTCACGAACACTTCCAGACACCCGTTTCTCGCTCTATTTTTGTGTGATTATTTATTATTCTCATTATTTTCATTATTTTTCTTATTAATAACTAACGGCTGGTTTATTCATCGAGCGAGCCTCCGACGATTGAAGACCGACACGTCTAATGTAGGTACGTTTTACATACATTTTTACTACATTTCGAGCCAATCAAGTTTGGCTGTTGTTTTAAAAACAGATATATATTATAAAACTCACGTTTCTCACAGATGTCTATAAAAGTATTCAGTGATAAGCTTAAAATATATAGCTTACCGATGGTTATTTCACTCAACGAGTATGCAATTGATTCATTACAATAGTGTTACTTCAACATCATTGTTATGTAATATAATTCAATGTTTACACACTATCAGGACTACAATATGAGAACAATCGTGATCAACAACACAATGTATGGTTTACGTATACGTTTTCATGCTATTAAAATTATAATCACAATTTTTTTTACAACCATGTTATTCCTACAACGCGTCATTATTTCCAACAAAATTGTACAATTCGATGATTGTTGATTTCACGTTTTAAGAATGGTCTTTCAGTGACTCGTTTAGCTATAAATATTGGCATTAGTATAATTTAACTTCACCGTGCTATTATAGAGAATGATTTTACATTCTTAGCGTAATGCAATAACTAGGTAAATTATATAATTCGGAATTCATAGGATGCAGAAGCAAATAATTGGCAATTCTTTTTTTCGTATCGAAGTAGTATATATGTTGACATAACTATGCCTCAATAAAGTTCACTGAATTCAATTATTTATAGTTCGTCAACTCTTAATTCAAAAGTTTCACAAATTGTTTTTGATATTTTATTCTCAACATAGATAGGTACCCCAAACAGAAAATAATAGTTTCCTTGAAATATGAATTATACTTTCAAATTTACTCGAACTTCATAAAATATTACAACTGTTTTTAATTTATCTATAAGTTTACCGAGATAGTATTTTAATATTCAAATAATATTAAAATATTAATTATATAATTTTGCTGAACCCAAAAAAATATAAATTAAAATATATTGTTATTCAATTATTATCAGCTACAGTGAGAGATTATAATATAAAGCACTATATTGTCATTATTTATTGTGTGTTATATATTTTGGTTACACAAAGTAAAAACACAATAAACAAATTTATTGTTTTTAGTAATATATTATGCCTAATTTAAAAACCTTAAAATTACTTATTGTATAAAAATAATATCATGAAGCCACAGTATTGTTAGTTCAAAAGCAAGGTTAATTGATACAATTAAGATTTCGTGAAATTAAAAAAAAAATATGTACCTATATGATGTCCATAAAATAAATATATAAAGCAACCAAATTGAGAAGAAAACGATTTAAAATTTAAGTCTTGATGGATATTGTTTAGTTTAAACGTTACGTATTGCACACGATTAGTATTTTATACGATTTTTAGGTCATATTAATACCGTTATTTAATAATGTTCATTGATACAATACATGAATAGTAAATATATAATAATTTTTATAATTGCTGTTTACTCATAAAGTGCATGAACAGTACCTACACACTATACTGACATAATAAATTAAACATACTGCAATTACCACATAAAGAAAATTTAATTTTATACTCTGAATTATTGAAGTATGCTAAAAACATAAAATTACTAAAAGTGTAATGTATGAATTAGTATGTTCTGCACGATTGTGTAAAATATTCTAAGCATGTAAATTACTAAACATTACACAAAGAAATATTCACAAGACAATTCTAATAACATTATCAATAATGTATTAAAACATTAGCACGGCGTATTGGATATGCAATATTGATGCATTGGCGAGTATGGTCCCATAACTTACTATTATCGTGGTATAATACAATGTACACTACTGTGCATTATATTATTAGTATCGTATGATTATAATACAATTGAAATAATAACATGATATTTCTATAACAACATTATTATGAAATTACGTTTCCTTTTACGACAACAATTTAATATTTCATAGTAAGGTATATCAAAATAAATTATACATAGGTATTTATATTATAAATTGCAATCGTACTCTTAATATATTATTCAATTAATAGTAAAAATGAATACACGAACGGTATAATATACAATATACATTATATTTAATATGAACCACTTTAAATAAAAACTACACATAACATTCTTTATCAAACAACATTCTATGTAACCTTTCTTTTTTTCTTTTTTTAAATTTACGATATTGTAACGTTTTTTCTATGATATACCTACCAATTTAATAAGTAGTTATTCTAATCTATATTCATATTATACTTGCATGTGCATTAGACATGCTCTCTGCATTCTATACACGTATAGAGTATGATTTGAAAAAAAAATATTTATTATTATATCTATTTTTACTACCACGATTACTCGATAAAACTGTAAAATGTATGTTTCTTATTTGTATTTAAAATATTATATCTGAAGGTTAGGTTCTATAATACTCTGTACCTTAACCAAAATATGTGGCTTTACCATCTATCTCTTCAATATATTATAATAATATGTTCATGTAGGCAAACATTACTTTTTTACGTTGCTCGAGGTGTGTAAAAGTTTGGTACAAAAAAAACTATACATTTCGATATACAGCAAGTTAACAAAAGTTCGGTTAGTGTTCAAAAGTTTAATCAAAACAAAATTATTATTTAAAATACACACATCATGCCTACATACAGTGTGATTATTATTTTAGCAGTAAACAATCATTAACTCAAAAAGCATTTGAACATTTTTAAAAAAATGGGGTTTTCTTAATAATATAATATATTTTCAGTCATCGAAAAATGAAATAAAATTGTATTTTTTATTTTTATAATTTTTTATGATACTTACTGTTTTAATTTCAACTGGCACTTTTAATTTCAAAATTGGCAAATGATAATGAATTAAACTATGTAAAAAAGTATATCCTAAGACGTTATTAATCTTTGAGATAGCGAGTGTTAGTGTTAACTATTTAAAGAATCACCCTGTATGTAATCTACGGTATTTTCGACAAATAATAATAATATATTGTAAGTTTACGAGCGTGTAAAATATTGATTTATGGCGTCGTCGTTATTCATTAGAAAACTTTTGATAAAATTTACATTTTGCACCGTAAGTCGTCACATTTTCAGCTTTTATAATAATTATCTGTACCCAAAATTCCAAACATAAATAATTTTGATATAATACATATTATGACTCGCGAACACGTATACTGCATAGTATTATAGTCATTAATTTTGACTTTGAAACAATATTGTATTGGCGTCCTCGCGTATAGCGCTCCCGACTTAAATGCGAAACGTGGACTAACTACATGACGTCCATAATATTATGTCGATGACCAGTTTAAATGACTCAGAGAAATGCATTTCCCCGGATTTTGGAGTTATATAACCTGTCAGAAATTACGAGAACACGCTAATTATTTATCGTTCGTCCTCGTTAAGCCCACTGAAATACGATTAACTGCGTTGTTTCGAGTTCGATGATAAGAAATACAATTCAATAATCAAACTCATTATACGGTTACACGATTCTCTGCGTACGTTTCGCGAACAAAAATAAACCGTGTTCGAGTAGTTATTATAATTATACCAAAGCGGCACCGAACACTTTGAAGGCGTATTTGTTTAGGGTTCCCAGATACAGACAACAGGGTTTATATTATAATCTCTCTCTCTCTCTCTCTCTCTCTCCACGATACTGTCGATGATAATACATCGATGATTTCACGGATGGAAGTTTCACCAAACGTGTTTAGGTACCTTTATATTATTATTCCATATAAGAGAGTGCTTCCGGGTGCGTGGATTTTTAACGTGCGCTTTTCTCGAGACTCTTCCGGGATCAATAGTATACGCATACATGTGAATACGATTCCGAAGGATTATATGATTTATGAACGTCGCTACGTGGTCCACCGCTGTGGTAGGGATAAAAAAGAGCGTGCGACGGACATATGCAATATAGTAATATAATAATACGCCGAACAGGCGTGAATCGTTTAAAATATAATAAAAATCTTCGATGTGTGACGTAACCGACCTACTACCACTCGCACGGGGATACCGCGTCACCGGCAGCGGCGCGGTATCGAAGCGGGTGAAATCTCACGGCGGATTTATCGAGAAGATATATTGACTTAAGGGAATACAAATGCAAAATCGTTATTTCCCATTCACGCGTGTGTTCGGGGATTTGCGGCCAAAGTACAAAGCAAATAAAAAATAAGTACTGCAATATGTGTGTGTGTGTGTGTGTGTGTGTGTGCTGGTCAGCCGTCCATTTACGGAAAATAGGAAGCACGGGACTTACACCGTAGGTACCTACTACAAACGCGTTCGTTCCTTTAGTGTTTGTTTTTTTATTTTATTTGTGTTTGGCCCGCGAACAGTATGATAGGATTTCGGATCGCGTTTCGACCGTCGATTCGCACGACCGGAATATTATATAGCGAAAAAATAAAAATAAAACGGCAGCGGATGTATATCCGCTGTGGCTGCAGCACGCGCGATTCGTACGGACGCTACGGTGTGCTTTAAGAGTGTTAACCGAAAAATGAACGGAAACGATGACTCGTGTTTTACAACCTGTTTGCGTTAAATCGGTAACGCGTATACACCAGTAACCCGACCAATCGTCGTTTGGGTTGCAGTTAAATCGAAATCGATCGCACGTTTTGGTACACGTCATTACGATTTATTGTAGACTTTATTTTGGATAAAACCTCTAACAGACATTTAATTATAATTACACGGCATAAAGTACATAATTTTTCGATTATCGGCCTCGATCAATGCTCTAATCGATTACCTACTGTAGTAGATAGATGTATTGCATATACGTTTTTTTTATTCATTCAGTGAACTCACTAAAAAAATTAAAAAATCCCACGATCGGGAGTTGAGCATTCTCGGTTATAATAATAATACCTGCTAGAATAAATCTATAATAATTGTTATAGCAGTGTCTATTTCAAAAATTATTGTGATTTCAATCGTTGAGTTTTATTCAAAGATCAAACAGTTTGTCGTCTGGTAAACAGTAATTATTGTGTATCGTTATTGGCCAAATAAGGGAATTGCACCGTTTGTTGGAATTGTGTTCGAGGAAATGTTAAGGCATAAATACTTCGAGACGAATACGATTCGTCGATATTGTGAAAAAGACAACAGGAGCGAACACCCAAAAAATCTTTGGTCAGAAAGTGTGTTACCTCTTATACAACGTACACAGCAAGTCGTGTAATTGATGTTTTCATCAATCTATAATTTTTACTTGCGAGATGCCTCGTAGCAATAATTAACTATTTACAACTAAAATTTTTATTTTTTATTAATATGCGTTCAAAATTGTAAGACGGGCGTGCTATGTCTTAATTATGGTTATAACGAGTATAATGTGTATATTTTATATGTCTACAGTAACTACATAATATATTACGCGGGATAATTTATAAAGCATAGGTACTCACTACCATTTCCAGCCGTAAATTATTAAGCAGTCGATTTTTCTGAAAACGTCGATGCGTCTAAACCGAAATTCGAATAGGTAGGTTTTGAGTTTCATTACTTTTGTAATACTAAGAATCTTAACTAGGCATACTCGAAAATGTATAGAAAGAAGAATTAAAAATATTGATTACCTAGAAAACAATATATTTATTATAATGTCGGTTGATTGAATGTGTCTGTCTTTATACTCAATACGTCATATTACACGCTGCACTGTTCATCTAATATAATTGATCAATTATGTGCATATAATAAGTGTTTTAATGGTTTTTTTTTTTAAACAATTACTTAAATTGTTACTAAAATATTTTACATTCCGAGAGCGATTTTATAGTGTTTATATATTTTATTTTTTGTTCACAAGTTCCGTAGGTAGTAATAATATAACAGATACACCAACATAATATATTACTATAACGAGTGTACTCGGTGTGCGTTTAAGCTGTAAACTACTTCCCGTCGAAAAACCATTTAATAATCCAGTCGATAAATAAATCATAACAGAGTTTCTCTCCCGTGACTGCTAAACGGTCAGTTCGTTATTAAAAAAGGTTTCGATGCAACAATGAAAAAAAGTCTTTTTATAAACAATACCGCGATGATGAAGTACCCCCTGCACGGTATAATAATACCTAATATATTGGCATATTATATTGTTGTGTACGGAACACAACATTTCGTGACATTAAACTGTATGTACGAGTACAATAGGTAATAATAATATTATATTAATACGTACATTATCGTGTTTACGAAAATATATTTGTTTGGGTCCTTTTTATAGGTGGGTATGATTTATTGAAAATAATTAGCTACAGGAAATGAAACCCCGTTCCGGACCGGCCGAAATGCCAGTAAATCCTGCAAACGAGTTTTTTGCGTACCAACTATTTTTCGTCCTCGGAAATATATATTATTTTCTAAGGTGGATCGCATCATGCAAGAGGAAAACTTTATACGGTCTGTTGATGTCTATATTACTATAACGACGATTTCGAGGAACGAAATAATATGACTATTATTCTTCGTTGTACCCTTTTATTTTTATTTTTATTTTTATGACAACAGTATAACCTAACCAAACAATACTCTACTGCTGTATCACTCACTCGCCCTCTATATACGCACACGGTGCAATATTATTATTTTGAAAAACGAGTATTATTGTTTATCGTAGGCAGGTACGATATATTATAATAATCCATTATACAGTCGAGTGTATAGTTGTTAAATCAAACGATGAGCCTCCGAACGTCCGACTCGTCGTCAGCCACCATAAATAATCGTGACGACCGATTCGAATTAGTTTTTTTTGTCGTTGTACAGGTGTGATTGTTCCTCGACTAATAATTATTATGGCTGAATATACCGCACCCATCTACCTACAGCTACAATAACTACAAGTGACGTGCGTGTTTATTGCGATACGAATAGCCACCCATAAATTATGACGACCGATTTGAATTAGTTTTTTTTTTTTTTTTTACTACAGGTGTGATTGTTCTTGACTAATTATGGCTGAATTTAATATCTACCACACCCACAACTACAACCACTGGTGACAAGCGTGTTTATCGTGGTACACGCTATTTTCAATACGTATTGTGCGCAGTATTAATAATAATTTAATCGGCTCCGAAAATGATTATTCTGTTCGTTATAACATGCCAGCAGGCGATTCGATCGGAAATCGACAGCGTATAGTAATTAATAAAAATTACGATCGAGTGTTCATCTCGAGTATTTTACAACGCCGTGTGATACTGCAGTAGTTATATTATATTTTTTTTTTTGCACGCGGAGAGTACAACAAGCGCCCAAAACGATTTTTCTTATAGCCGTCAATAGTACGTTTATTATTAGTTAGAAATACATACAAGGTACACTCACGAAATCAATTTTTAAGTCCAAAATAATAATTTTATAGTAACTTTTTAAAAACCATCGGGATCTATATTCGATGCCCTAAATTTAAATTATGATAACCTATTATGTCTTAATATCTTTAAAAAAATACTGTATTACCTTAAAATATGCAACGCTATAATGTTAAGCTATACGAATAATTAAAATGGATTATTTTTAATGTAAATATAATAGTTGTAGGCTAATGACCTATACATCAAAGCCTATATTAAACTCGATAAAAAAAAATATATAATAATACGCATTTAAAAATATAATATATATATATGATTATAATTTAATATTACACGGCTGAATGTATATTGATTTTACAATGATGTGTTTTTATTTTTATTTTGTGTCTGGAGCAGTGAAAATGTCACGATCTTCAACTTCATGAGTGGTTTCAGATATTGAATTGGAATTAGTTACTGGTACTTCGGAAGGTCAACAATATTGTCTGTATACTTTTCGTAATATTCTAGAGAAAATAAAAACAATTCACGAGAAAACAAAATTTTTTACAAAGTACAAATGTTTTACAAAATTGATTTAGTTAGGTACTTGGCCATCATATAAGAAACCAATAACTATGGATGCTTGGTATTTTCATCAAATGTTAATATTAATATTTTCTATACACGATATAATTTAAAAAATAATTGAGTGTTTTTCGATCTATTTATGGACGTAATTTAGAGTATAGGCTTTTGAAGTGAAACTTGGTTTAAGGAGGATATAACCGCGAAAAATTTGTAACGAAATTATTAATTATTATGCCCCCGACATAAAATTGTCAGCGGTACGAATCAAATGTGAAAAATAATTTTATTTTCTCAAAATTGTCTCCTTAAGGGTACTCCATTTGATTGCTATTGATATGTAGGTATATCATTATTATCTAATCAGACATTTAAAAATTATTGTGGAACGGTGAGACGGAGGGTCGTTTTAATACATACTGTGTAAGTTTATTGAATTTATATACACATATAATATTAACATCCATACACATACATTTACGTATATCATTACGATTTTAGTTACCATAAACCGATAATTACCGTCGTGGCTTCAAAATTGGAAAATCAACCAGGATGAAAAAAATAAGTAAAAATAAATAAAATGAATAAAAGCAATTACACAAATAAATTGTTTTTTGTATCGCGGACTTGAACCTAAAATCCTATCAAGTCCCTTCTGCGGGATAGATCGTTTTCAGAAATATCCAGACTAAAAACTACGCTAAAAACTCACTAAAACCACGAAGAAGTTTCGCTTCATCCACGCGTGATTGCCCACAAACAAATATTTGCAAGTGTATAATATTAACCATATTAAATTTGTATGCTCGGTCAAGAAACTTGACAATTTAATTCAAGGTTTACTTCATTATGTAATATTCAAAAGTATAACTTTTTAAGAACTTATAACTATATGAAACATTAATTACACTATTGTTTATTCTGGACCATACCATGTTAAAACCATTTAAATTAATCTTAAATTACTTACACCATATCATGAACCTAATTCAAACGGTTCCACGGCACCCACACCAGTATGAAATTAAACTCTTACAACAATAATAATCTATCACATAATAATAATATTATAAATGTGATGTTTTTGATAAAAAATAAATTCGACTTACATAAGTATTACAAATAACGGTGTAAATAAATTATAAAATATGTCTTTAGAAATTGAAGGTGCGTACATTGTCTCGGCTTAGAATCGTTTTTTTTTATAAATCCAATATTGATTTAACATTGAATTCAAATGTAATGTATCCAATACAGTGACGAGTGACCACCTCAATGACGAGGTACTCTCGACACCCACTCTTGTGAGTTTCCCGGTTTTTTGCTTTTTGTTTTTTCTCCCATTATTATTATTCGTGGTTTATGAGTATTTTTTATACGGTGTATACAATATACGTTACCTATAATATTAAACTAAATAATTTTTTACTCATAAAGAGAAACATAAACAATGATGAATTATTTATCTCTGGAAAATATAATAATGTGTATATTGCAATATGTGGTTGGTTTTTAAAATTATAAAACTCATTATTTTCCATATTCGACCAAAAAATAAAATTGCAATAATGTTTCTTTATTTCAGCGCGCAAGCACGATAATTCCAATGGATCGCTAATCGATGATTAGTGATTATTAACAATGGTCCCTGCCCGTGATGACAATTTGCGCAGATAACTTCCCATCAAAAATCGGAAAATAAAGGTAAATATTTCAAAATAATTACGTTTATCGGAATAAAATCGAAAATAATTACTTGAAAATCTCAGCGTTTGAATTAAAATGTGGGGAATAAATCATCAAAAAAATAAAATAAAAGTATATCTCTAAAAAATGTATTACGTTATACTATTCAAGTTAATAATTCACAAAGAATACAAATTTCATCTAATACTGTATGACACTTAAATCCGCTTATTATCTAAGTTTAAGCACTGGCACCATATTATGCCAGTTGATAATAAGACGATTGATTACCAAGAAGAAAGTTTGTGCGGGATTTGTTTTTCATCCAAACATTTGCATTTCGCCAAAAGTTTTAGTCCAGCTGGTTTCGTATTTTTCGACTTATATATAGATACCTTTAGGATAAGTTGTTTTGGGCTTGAAATAAACTAGAAGCTATGGATTTATAAAAAGGTTAAAAATGTACTACTTTTTTTTTTTACCTCTACCGTTTATATTTCATCTAACCTTACCACAAACTTTTGACCGTTGAACTAGCACAAACGTGAAGCATGAATTGAGATATTTAATTTTAAAATATTTCTTCTACGGGTGATCAGATATGAAACTACGGAACTGTCCAATAAATAACCCAAGTATAAAATGCATTCGGGGTGGTTCTTTAAAAGGCTATTAATATAAAATATATGTTTTTTTTCATAATTATATCCAATTTTTATTTATTTTTCAAACAGAATTCAGTTTAATAAAGATGTATAGTTCGATGCCGTAATAATAATGTTGTAATAATAACTATTAATCATACCATTTTTATTTTGTATTATTATTTTTTCATAATAATATCGGGTATTATTATTTTTTCATAATAATATCGGGTAATATTATTTGATCACAATAACAAGAACATTTCGCTATTTTTTATGTTTCCATGGACCAATTGTGTTTTTTTGCCATACATCACATATAACTCTCAAATACGAATACCTGTACTAGGTATTGATAGAACTGCAAAAAATCATTCTATTATTTTATAACATCAAAAAGAAAAATTCAATAATCAAACGTTGTTCTATATAGTTATATCTTTTAAATATTTTTCCCTACCTCGGGTAATCTGTTATACGAGTATAATATAAAAAATAACTAATAGTATTATGGCAGTTTAATAATATTGAATCACTTTCTAAAGTTATCGCAGTTTCATCACAGTATAATACATCGGTTAATGTCATAATATCGATCAGCACGTCATAATATTACTATGTTAATATTATCCAATTTTGTAATTATATTTATGGGGATTAATTTTTAACACGCTGGCTAACGATAGATTGACCAATCACCAATCGTCTAAAAACGCAGCGTCCTTACTAGCACGTGTTATCTCCGTCTTATGAAATTACAACAAAACACACTTTACGTTCACGATTATCGTCCATCTCACTTTGTTTACGTTTTAAAATTTAAAGGTACGATTATTGTCTAAGGTACCCCGCAGGTTTATGCTGATGTTTAATATTATGAAGCAAGTTACGAGCATTTAAAAACCGTTGTATTTTTTGTGCACTTTTACACGATGATAAAAATAACAGAGCAAAATGGATATTATTGTGAACGTAAAATAATTGTCCGTGTCAAACGTTCGAAAACCGAGGCAACACAATATGCATGTGTGGCATCCTCTTAACACAGCTGAGTGATATAAACTATGTATATAATATAGTATTATATTATATAACAATATTCAATGATTTTTTATTATAATATCCTATGGGGTACACATTATAGTCTATACGTGCTATTTTTTTGGTTGAATTTTGACAAAGTGATGACTTAGACACTGAAAAAAATGTAAGGTTTATAGGTATGTTTTGAAATAAATAGGTATTATATTTTGTCACAGGGAAAGTGTTGTTTGTGTGTGGTTGTGAGTGCGTGTGCAGTCTCACTTTTTTGTTATTTATACGATTTTATTATACGTATTTTTTTTTTTTATTAAATAAACGTTATTAAATTTGTGTGTTGCAATGATACACGGGCGTTCGGAAGTCTCGACACTTTGCAGATGTTGTACGATTATTATACTACACTGCCACATTTAATAACCCTTCATAATGTTGTCATATTTAATTGCTCTTGAAAAAAATATATATTTTTTAATAACTCGCATCATACAAACCGATGTGACTGCGTTACGAGTTCGTGATTAGGAGTTTAACAAATCGGAGAATTATAACTGTAGAATGAAAACTATGTTGGCAAAGTGGAAATGTCTTTAAAAAAAAAAACCTATTTACAGACTCGAGTAAGTTATAATGCTAAGAAGAATATTACCAATAAACATACATAATATTCGGACAATCGAATCATTGAGTTACGCTTGAAACGAAATACATAAAGCGAAAAGTATGGCAATGATATGAAATAATGTACATTATGACTATCCAATGTGTGGTTCTAAATAAGCCTTAATGTTAAAACATTGTGATGTTTTTTTCAGATTCAAATATAATAGATCAAAACTGCACATAAGCATACATAAATCAAAATCTCAAATAAAATTTAATTACAAAACTGTCAAACCATAACCAAGAAATTGTTGAAAACATTAAAACTCATATCATTAGACCTTGTGTTTGTGATATAAAATTTATTCTAAAACGTAAAAATGGTAAAAAAAAATATAATAATATGACGTTTAAATTCCATAGTCAACAGTTGTAGTTAAATCATACGAGTGAAATACAATTTAAGCGAGTTAACAATATTGTTATAATATTATTATATGGATGGAAATTACATATTATTATATTATAATAAAATGGAAAACATAATTTTGAGTGATGAATATAATATAATAATTTATTCGTTCTTTCGTTTGAATTTCTTAATGATGGATGATGTGTCGCCAGCCAACATTTCTGAAATTTGTCAATTTAATAACGAAGAGCATATTTAAAATATTTAACAGAATATTTTAGGACAAAGATAAGCTAAATGAATCAATATTATACAGTATTATACCAAATATACAAATATAACAAAAAAATGTTTGTAATATTATTTACTAGAACAATATACCTACTAAAAAATGCACTCCCTTCGCTCGTTTTTCTATTGAATAAATTTGTGTTTTTGTGTTATATTATTATTATTACATAATATACATACAAAGAACATTTAAACGCGAAGATAAAATTGTTTTCTATAACGTCCGAAAAATGATCTGAATAGCATGTGTTGTTGGGGAGGGTCGTATAAATTTAAGTGTTTGCATTTTTAAATATTAAATTGCTCTTAAAAATGAATCACGAGTGAAGCAACTCAAATTAACTGGAATGCTGTAAACATATAACTTAACTTTATTTTTAAATGTAAATTATTTTTACACGATACCAAAAGTCATAAATAATCGAAATAATGTAATATCCTATCGTTTTTTGAAATCAAATCAATCAAACTCACTGTAATTTAAATTTTAGACAGCGACAAAAAATGTTGACACAAATGTATTGGAGATGTTTCATTATTTAGGTACCTGTTTTGACTTAATACAATAAAGTTCGAATTGAAATTTAAACTTTGAAGACTCGAGCAACATATTCGTATATGGATTTAATATTTTATTAAGAAATAACAAAAGAAAAAATGTATCATTTTCTTTTCGTATAATAAAGAAATCACAATGAATAATGTCGACTTTGGAGTACGAAAACGGTTCTGAGGTTGTGACAACCCTTCTTGTGGAAATTTTTTTCATAATGTTTCGACGGCTGTTTACAGTTTTTACTTATAAGGTTGGTAAAACAACATTGGAAAAATACCAAAAATACTCAATTTTCAATCGATCAATAATAGGTAGGTCGAATTTACTTGAAACTTTTAGCACGTTGTTCCACTAGCCGGTAAAAGATTTCATAGAGGAACAGATATAATAGTTTGGGATCAATGCAATGCCATAATTTTACTGGAATACAATTTATACTGGCTGCTTACAAATACAAATAACATATTATATGTTGAAGCTAAATTACAAAATTGTACAAGCAAGACAATTAATGTTTGATATTGATTTCGAATTTTACTAAATTAAACAATTTCGTCCACATGTATGTACCTATTTACGAAATATCTGTTCACTGTAGTAAATAACACATTAAAAAATATAATTAAGTATTTATATTTATGTTTTAATTAATATTATTATAAACAATAATATAAAGTTGATTTCTTTATAGGTATTAAAATAACAGTCAAGTTGAATTTTATTTTTGATAACTTTTTATTTTAAAATCATGTACAACGAATTTAAAATATGCCAAATCCATAATAATATTAATTCTTGAAAAATACGCCTTACATAATTAAACTCTGTATATTACATAATAGTGGTTATTTTAACAGTAAATACTCATAATCGTGTATTCAAATTTAATTTAGACACAGTTATTAATAACGTAGTTCAACTTATAAGCATACAATTGGTGATGAACGGCAACACACAAAATATTTGTTTACTACTTAGTTCATCGAAACTTCAAATATTTATAAACTACCTACTTTAAAAACTTTTTTGAAATTTATTTTGTATTAATACAAATTCTCAGATTATAAAATCAATAAAGATTTCGTGGCTCAAAATGGTAAAAATTAAAAAAATAGTAAGAAATATAGTAAATTGTTTTCAATAATACTGGTTCTTTATGTTTTATAATTAGGTATATAAAATATATTTTCAAAGACAGTAATACTTTTAAGGACAATGAATGTTAACTGATTTAAAAAATCATCCAGTTTATGTCTTGCACTGATTCAAATCATTTGTAAAGTACCTATATTATATTCTTTCTAAAAAATATATGTCCATTGTTGTCTAATTCACATTTTCTTATTTTTCATGTTTTTATTGAATTTTTTCTTTGTTTCCAAGACCGTTTCTTTGCCACATTTCAACATTTGTCTTGCTTTTATTATGTCTTTCATCATAAGTGGTTTATACAAGCTGCAGCATTTAATGG